CACATGTGCTTTATAGGGACTCTAAAGGCGTGCATCTCATACTTTGATTTTGTATTTTATTTATTTTTCCAATTTTAATGCCGTTTGAACTTACATAAATTTTGTAGAATTTCTCTCTGAATATAGTGTTGTAGGGGTGAAGTCTATCCACTTCTCCACAAAAGCTGCTCAACAGAATTGATTGAGCTTCTATGTGTGTTTCATTGGAACTCTAAAGGTGTGCATCTCATACCTTGTTCATCCAATTTCTTAATTTTATCACTTCTACAGATGTTTGAACTTACTTGAATTTGGTTCTATTCATCCAGTTCGTCCCATACAACAGGGGGTGTACTTTATCCACCACCAAAAACTCATTTAGCTTACATATGTCTTTTATAGAGACTCTAAAGGTGTGCATCTCGTATGTTGTTTTTTCGTATTTTATAATTTTTTGTATGTTTAGAGAATTTTGAACTTAGATAAATTTTCCTGAATTTCTCTCTGATGATAGTGAATAGGGGATTAAGTCTATCCACTTCTCCACAAAAACTGCTCAACAGAATTGATTAAGCTTATACATGTGTTTCATTGAGACTCGAAAGGTGTGCATGTCATAGTTGCATAGATGTTTATTGAACTTGTTCGTGAATTTTGTTCAATTATTGATGTTTATATGTCTTATGAATGTCAGCGGGGGCATCCGTGTCCCTGGACACAATTTTTTCTTGTTATACTCTACAACAATATATCTTGCCCAAGAATTTGAATTTTGAGGTAGAGAAATACCATCATCAGATGACAATATCTCAGCCTCCAAACGTCTCTTTTTTCATTTCGGTTACAACCAGAATGAATGTGAGCCATGATTATGCGAAAGAGATTCGACAACCCTGCTCCCCACCCACCATGGAGTGGCAACAAGGACGGTGTCTAACTGCATCGGGGTTCCAACATGCAAACACCAGGGATACAGGGGTGCTATACTCCAGCAAATTTGACATGAATAGCTATACCTGTTTACTAAGTTTATCGTGAGGCTGGTTCTGCCCATAACATTAACTTAGAAATATATAGAATACAGCGGTCAACATCACCAGATTGGCACATGAGCCACCGCCTTCTGGCATAGGACTCTAGGCAATATAATATCATGAATAATTGTAAATTTAAACAGCCAAGACCACATAATGTATTAAATTTGTGCAATAATACCCACTATGCACAGGGCCTGTCATGACCTGCCGATTAGTAGAACCGGGCCAATTCTACCACCCGTAGGTGCCGAAGTGGTGTGTTGGGCAGTAGGAACACGGTTCCAGGCTCCTATTGCCCTCAACCACCAGAATCCCTTCCTCCACCGACACAGGGGCGCAACCCACGGCAAACAGGTTGTCCAATTCGGTCTAAAGACCAGCAATGGGGTGCTGTGGACAACTATGCCTGCGGGTCCACTCGGGGGGGTTGAAGAGCGCTTAGCGTTACCCAGCACCCACCACGAGGAGGTGGCTCTTCACGGGTGCCCCTGAATTTCAGGGATATTAGACACTGCAGGATAAGACAGAAGTTAATTTTGAATCAAATAACTCTGAAGTCTATAACGAAGTGTTTTCATTGGATGAGCTTCATATAACTCTTGAACAAGCTCATGAATATATCTACTATCAGCTACAGACACACTTGCCTATAAAGTTGTTTCCAACAAACTGGGGAGGGGATCAAGCTACCCTCCTTCATCTATACCAATCTTTGGTCCGGTCGAAACTTGATTACGGCTCCATTGTATGTGGTGGAGCCTGCAAAAGCAACCTAAAATTACTTGATTCTGTCCACAACCAAAGCCTAAGACTTTGTCTTGGATCATTCAGAACTTCTCCTGTTCACGTTCTCTACGTCGAGTCCGCTGAGCTATCACTCAATCAACGCCGTATCAAATTAGCTTTACAATATATTACAAAACTACATGCTAACGAGTCTGATCCTGCTTATAAGTGTGTCTTTAACCCTCTCTATGAAGATTTGTATAACAAGAAACCTGATCTTGTTCCGCCTCTATGGCCAAGAATTAGGCCATTCATTTCTGCTGCTGGCATTGAGCTGTTTAATATATCTCCTTCCCGACTTCTTTCTTCTCCTCCTTGGCAGTTGGTTAGGCCACAAGTCAACCTAACATTAACATCATTTCAGATAAACATCATCAAATCAGAAACTAATGACTTATAATAATAATGAATATAATCAATTACAACGTAAATATAATACATATAAATCCATATTTACAGTTAGGTCCAACGATGGTGGCCACTGTCATTGGATCCAAAAGAATATCTTCTTGACAACCAAATAACAGCTCCATTTTCACAGCAGAAGCTAACGCCATATTAACATCTCTTAAATATATTAATAAACACCGTAAATATAAACAATACATAATATATTCTCTTTCCTGCCTTCAGGCTATTAAAAATCTATTTTGTAAACATCCACTTTTAATAGAAATCATTGAATTGTACAATGAACTTGCTCATGGCCAATGCGACATCGTCTTTTGTTGGTTACCCAGCCACGTTGGCATTTCTGGGAATACAATGGCTGATCCTGCTGCCAAGGCAGCACTCAACAAGTCTGTGACACCACTTCTTATCCCATAGTCTGATTACAAAGCTAGCATTAGAACGTACATCCGTGATCTGATGCAGAAGAAGTGGGACACCCAAGTAAGTATCAATAAATTACATGAATAAAGCCTTATTACACCTACTGGGGTTGTCAGTCCAGATTTGAGCATTGGTCATACGCGTTATACTCACAAGTACCTGTTAAAAGATGAAGATCCTCCGTTGTGTATCCCTTGTGATGAGAGAGTCACAGTCAAGCATGTCCTGCTTGACTGTGTTGAATTCTCCATCATAAGGGATAAATATTTCAATGTGAAAACAGTTAAGAATCTTTTTACCACTGTTCATTTTCATTTAATTATGTTTTTTTTAAAAGAAATTGATTTTAATTAATGGATTTTGATAAATATGTTCTGTAGACAGATGTATTGTAATGAGTGGTAGTTTAGATTAGTATCTTTGATTGTTAGTGGCTGTACCCACAAAGGGGGTTAAAGTATTGTCCTCCTGAGAGGGTACGTAAGTCCCAAAACATTCAAAATAAATTTAAACCAACTGCTATTTTAATCGTAGAATATATGTTCTTTTAATTTGTGGCTAGATTCTCTAACATTGCTAATAGCTGAAGGTATGGTGTAAATCCAGCTAGGGTCCATGCAGGAAGCAAATGTTCTGTAAGTCTCCATGGTCCCTAGTATGGTCATCTACCTTCAGTCGTTGGCAATCTATAGCCTGTTTTTATATTGTCTTGTCATCTCTAGTTAAACTGGTTTTAGATTTAATTACCAGTCTTAAATTCATATCTGTGATAATGTAGGCATTTTATTGTCCTTCGTTGACAGGTTTTTATAATTTACCATAATTACTATGTATAACAATTAATTGTTCTCGTCACAAAATGGCTGAAATACTGCCGATGTGATGATAAATTTTAACTCACTCACTCACTCACTTGCCTACACCATGTCTGGCGATAACTCTAGATATATCTGACCAAATATGGATGTCTGGAAATGTTTCCCCTTCATGGCGTAAGGCTAGCGTACTCACTATACCCAAACCTGGCCGGAATTATACAGATCCATCAAATTACAGACCATGTCTCTCGCTAACTGTGTATGTGAAACCATGGAGCGAATGGTAATTAACTGATTCATTTGGAATCTGGAAATCAATAACCTATTTACATTAAAATCCCTTGCTATTGTATCTAAGCAACATGCAATATCAATTTTTCTTGATCTAAAGAAAGCCTATAATACTACTTGGAAACACAGCATGTTAAAAGATTTACATGATATTGGTTTGAGAGGTCGTTTACCTCTTTTCATATCACAGTTTTTTACAGACAGACAATTTCAAGTCCTAGTGGGGTCCACCCTGTCTGTGCCGGTGGGGTAGCCTAGTGGTTAAAGCGTTGGCTCGTCACGTCGAAGACCCGGGTTCGATTCCCCACATGGGCACAATGTGTGAAGCCCATTTCTGGTGTCCCCCGCCGTGGTATTGCTGGAATATTGCCAAAAGCGGCGTAAAACTAAACTCAGTCAGTCAGTCAGTCAGTCCACCCTGTCTGGTCATTATAGTCAGGATCAGGGTGTTCCACAAGGCGGAATTGTGTCTGTCACATTATTTAGTATTACAATATTTATCATTTCTAGGGTTTTAACTGATTCAATACATGGATCCCTTTTCGTGGATGATTTCAATAGTTATTGTGCTAAAAATATGCGAACCATTGAGAGACAGTTACAAATCTGCCTCAACAGTATTCATAGATGGTGCCTTGAGAACGGGTTTAAAGTTTCTAAATCCAAAACCAATTGTAAACACTTCTGCAGAAAATACAAACCCAATAAAAACCCCATTAAATGGCACACCCATAAACGTTTATGGAAAGCTAAATGGCTTAATCTCATCTTTTGTAAATAAATCAATGTTATTTTAAAATTGAGGCGACTATGCTTGTCGTAAAAGGCGACTAACGGGATCGGTTGGTCAGGCTCGCTGACTTGGTTGACACATGTCATCGGTTCCCCATTGCGCATATCGATGCTCATGCTGTTGATCACTGGATTGTCTGGTCCAGACTCGATTATTTACAGACCGCCGCCATATAGCTGGAATATTTGGTAGACTTAACTCCTCACTATTTTAAAATTGGTAGATTAAACTAGTAACTGAGATTGTAGTGGCTATATCCTCAAACGGGGTTAAAGTGTTGACAATTATTGTCCTCCCGAGAGGGTACGTGAGTCCCAATAATTTCAAAGTACATTTTTATCTGTCAACCTTTTTAATCGTGGTATTAATGACATTTTTATGTGATGTCTATATCGCCAATGGCTGAAGGGGTTGTGTAAATCCAACTAGGGGTCCATGCAGGTAGCAAAAGTACTATAAGTCTCCATGGTCCCTAGTATGGTGATCTACCTTCAGCTGTTGGAGATCTATAGCCTGCTTTTATATTATCTATTGCCAAAATAGTGATATTAGTTTTAGTTAGTGAGTTACAGTCCGTTTGAGTCAGAAACGGACCGATGAATTGCAAATTTTATCATTGTACAAAATTGCCACATAAATATAAATAGTACACGTTTATCATTTACTAATACCCAACAGCTTTCTTATATTTGAAAATTTTCCGGACTCCACCCAAAAAAGTTGTTTAAAAAACTATCATCATTGAAAACGCAAAAGTTGTTATCTGTCGCGGCGGGGTGAAACCGCAGAAACGGAACAGCCAGTCATGGCGGGGGACATCTCAAAATCTATTCCGGGAGACCTGTCGGTTCCTCGTCCGTCGTAGTGTCATAGTAACGACTTAAAGGGATGACAAGTGGTGCCACAGTTGCCTGTTGTAAGCCATCCCGAGACCAGTAACCTTGTTCAATGACGTTAGCTACCTTGTTGACACAGTTTTGCCAAGTTTCTCGTGATTTTGTTGAGGGACTTAACCAAAACCTCTACGTCACGTAATCTAAAAGTTGTGTTTGTTTCAGTCTTTGACAATACCCCATATCATTTCAGTCGTGATTTTGTTACAGTGATAGGGTGGAAGTCGCAGAATATCGTGACCCTTACTGTTTATGTAACTGTCAACTTTGTTGAAAGGTTCACCTTTGTGGGTTTTTATGATCTCATATAGCTGAGGCTTCGTTGCCTTTGAAGGCCGTGCGATCTGAAATTTGTCAAGCCATGATATCATATCACCTTTTCGACTGTTCGATGTCGGGGCTTTACTGTCGGGGTCCTGCACGCTGTGGTATGGGGCATTGTCCATAACGATAAAAGACTTCTCTGGTAGAGCTGGTACCAACTTGTTTTTAACCCAATCGAGGAAAACCGCACCATTCATCTCGGAATGGTAGTCTCTGTTATCTGTGGACTTTGCCCTGAATACCAAGTTGCAGCCTGGGAGAAAGCCTTTGCTGGAGCAACCAGCATGGAGAATGATTAGTCTCTCTCCTTTCCCTAGAGGCAGCTTTCTACGTGACCCCTTATCACCCCCATCGGGTACCCACTGACTGCTGGCAGTGTGCGAGGCATTGACCCACTGGCTCGAACCCTTCCTTGCGCTTCTTCTTTATAACCCTGAGAAAATTATTTCTCATGCAAACGATATCAGGGCGTTCACAGAGTACTGACTTATTCTCCCCCAAAATTTTCTTATAACGATACCCGAAAGAGTGTAAGAGTCGCCAGAGTGTGTACTTTGATACTCTTAGGTTGTGTTCTTGCTTCAAATGCTTTTTTAAAATTTTCAGTGACATGTATTTGTTTTCAGAATAGAGCTTGTTGATAGATTGCCTTAAAAGGTTCTTTTGAAAGTTGTCCAAATGTTTTAATTTGTGTGATTTTGACATGACCCCTACCTGCTTCGCATCACCCTCACAATGTTTGTGTTCCAGAACATTTGTCAGTACCCTTGCTGATACTCCTAAAGCTGTTGCTGCCCGCTTACGGAATTTATTAAAGGCATAAAATGGTTTGCCCCTTTCGGCTTCAGCACGGAAAAAATCGTACGCTTTAATCATCAACAGTTTCACGTCAAAGAAAAATCAGCATGTGTATCCCGTGCACGACGAGATAGTGGCTGTTCCGTTTCTGTGGATTCACCCCGCCGCGACAGATAACAACTTTTGCGTTTTCAATGATGATAGTTTCTTAAACAACCTTTTTTGGTGGAGTCTGGAAAATTTTATCCGGGTACAGACAGGGGAAGAGCCATTAGCGTTACCAAGCACTCACCAAGACGAAGAGTTGAGTTGAGTTGGGCTTTACGTCACATCGGTATTATTCCAGCCATATAGTGACGAGATCAAGTTTCCATTCAGGCCAAGGTCCAAAAGAGTTATATGTTAAAAACATATATATGCATTACATTTCTATTTCAAAACAGAAAATGTCATAGCACCAAATACAAAAGCAAGCAATTTGTTATCCTCTTTACAAAGTTACAATTTATGATACAGGTCAACTTCCCTCAGGTAGTTAACAATCAGATGACCGCTCACGCGGGGAAACAGATCTTTCAGATTTCTCGCATCATATTGTGTATCCCTTGCAGTCGAAAAGTCCACACAGTCAAGCAGAATATGGTTGATGGTGAACACTTCATCGCAAGAGACACACATGGGAGGTTCATCCCAATCCGTTTTCAGCAGATAGTCATAAGTAAACCGACTGTGGCCAATACGACATCGTCGTAAAATAATCTCATCACGTCTTGGCTGACAACCCAAGTAGGTATAACCGATTGTTGGCTTCAATTCATGAAGTTTATTTCGTCCAACTTGGGTGCCCCACCTTTTTTGCATAAGGTCCCGAGTATAACTTTTGATAGTGGGTTTGAAGTCACTGTACGGGATCAGCAGTGGAGATAGGGGCTTGTAAAGAGCGGCTTTAGCTGCAGCATCGGCCTTTATGTTACCTGCTATGCCGACGTGACCCGGCAACCAGCAGAGGACGATGTCACATTGGCCAGTAGAAAGATCGTTGTAAAGTTCTAAAATGTCCAGGATGAACCATTGACTTGGGTGACTTGAAGTAACATTTTGAAGTGCTTAAAGGCAAGACAGTGAATCTGTAAAAAACATGAAGTTTTTGGAATGGTTCTGTTGTTTGATATAGGTCACAGCAGTGAATTGTCGGGAATTCTAGAGGAGACAGTCTTGGATCCAATGACTGTAACACTGGCAACGTGACCATCATCCTTGGATCCGTCTGTGAAAATGGATCTATGGATGTTATACTTTGAACGTAACTGGTTGTATTCCTGTTGGAACACCAAAGGATTTGTTTCGGACTTTTTTGAGTTTAGTGAGGGAAGATCCACTTGTGGTTTCACCATCTGCCAGGGTGGGGAAGACAGAAGCCGGTTAGGTGCTATGATATTGAGATCTATGTTAGCTGCTGATATGTGTGGTTGGAACCAGGCTTGGTAGATTCGGATACAGGTTTTCATAGAGAGGGTTGAAAGTTGAGTTAAGTTGGGTTTTACGTCACATCGGCATTATTCCAGCCATATAGTGACGAAAACAGGTTTGCGTTAATAAGCTTTGTAAGTACATGCTCGGAATGCGTTTTATTTCAAAAGCATATATTCATTACATTGTCATTGAAACCACAACTGTATGATGGATTGGACTCATTTGAACGTAACTTAGTGATCTACTGCAGTGAAAGTTTAATGCGGTGTTGTTCAAGGGGAGGTTCGTTAGCCTCTACGTATAGACTGTGTACCGGAGGGGTCCTAAATGCTCCAAAACAGAGCCTCAGGCCTTGGTGGTGGATAGAATCTAATTGTTCTAAATTGCCTTTGCATGCTCCGCAATAGACAATGGAGCCTTAATCTAGTTTAGAGCGAACTAATGATCTGTACAGGTGAAGGAGGGTAGTCTTATCCCCTCCCACTCTGTATTTGAAATGACTTTAAGCAAGTCAAGGGCCTTCAAGCACTTGGTTTTCATATATTTTATGTGTGGCTAGAATGTCAAGAGACTGTCGAATATGAGCCCCAGGAATATGGCCTCTTCTACAACCTTGATAGGCGTACCATCTAAGGATAGGTCTGGATCCTTGTGTGGTTTGTATTTAGGGCAAAAATGAATACATTTCTTTTGGATTTTGAAATCTTAAAGCCATTTTCATTGGCCCATTTTTGGATTTTGTTAAGGCAGAGTTGTAGCTGCCTTTCTATTGCATGCATATTCTTGCCACGACATAAATTATTGAAATCATCCACGAAAAGGGACCCATCAACACAACTGTTCAAAACGTTAGTGAGGCTATTAATTTTGATGCTATAAAGTGTGACAGACAGGATGCTGCCTTGGGGGACGCCCTGATCTTGGTGGAAATAATCAGACAATGTGGAACCTACTCGTACTTGAAATTGTCTGTTGTTTAGAAACTGGGATATGAACTGAGGTAATCTGCCCCTCAATCCAAATTCATGTTAATCGTTTAAGATACCATGTTTCCACGTTGTATCATTGGTCACGTTGGTCAATGGTACTTCGGTTCTTTCTGAAACCACATTGGAGGTAACTAAGGGGGTTATTGGCCTCCAAGTACCAGATTAATCGATTGTTGACCAAGCGCTCCACGAGGAAGATGTTCTTTAAAATTGCCTTCAATGAACTCGCCCATAATACGATGATAAATTGCTCGTTATGTAAATATATGGATGTTGTTAATGCACTGTGGAAATTTCGCTAACCAATGAGACAAGGCACCAATATCAAACACCTCAAGAAACTTGAAGTGAGAGATTTATAATATCCCCAAACGCCTACGTATCGGGGTTTGTTCCTTTGTGAGGACATTGAAAGACAATTCTCGGAACAAGTCGATCCAAGCCAATAGATAACACAATAATTGACAACTGATAACAGTAATACTGTTGTTTATTCCAATAGGCATGTCATATTCAACACCATATAAATGGTGGTATTAAAGAAGTGAGTGAGTTAATATTTATCGTCACATCGGCAATATTTCAGGCATATCGTGACGAGAACAAATTATTATTGTATTATAGAATAATAAAATTAGAAATGCAAAGCCTGTTGACGAAGAGTAGTAAACGTACCAGTGTATCAGATATTAAAGTAAAATTAGCATGTTGTCATTAAACGGCATTTTCAAAGAGAACATGCAATGCCACTAAAGTGACCCCCGGCCACAATTTATCAAATCAAACTTAAAAAGTAATGAAAGTAAAGGTTGTAGTTCAAGATGAAGCTACATATCAACAAAAACATGACAAGGCAACCTGCACCTTCCCAAGATGAAGCTTGGTGTCAATTATGAAGAAAATAAAATCGTTTGTGAGATGTCTCGCTGACAAGGTGAATACGTTGGTTAAGAAACTGAAATATTCAATGTGTCCTTTGACCATGAAGAATACATGAAAGTCACCAAAATCGACTGGGCCTTGCGCCTTCCCCAGATGAATCTTGGTGTTAAATATGAAGAAAATCCCGAGAATGGTTCTTGGGATATCTCGCTGACAAGCTTAACATGCTGAAATCTTCAAAGTGTCGCTATGACCTTGGAAACTATGTGAAGGTCACCAAAACTGACTGGGCCCTGCGACTTCCCAAGATGAATCTTGGTGTTGAATATGTAAAAAATCCAGTTATTGGTTCTTCAGATATCCCCTTGTGAAATTGAAATGAAAGTCAAGGTCAATAAACCTGACTGGGACCTTTTGGATACTGCGATGAACCTAGGTACTAAATATGAAAAGAATCTAATCAACGTTATTAAGATATTCCAATTTGTACGTACGTACGCACAGATGGATGGACGAACGGACGGAGCCTGATACTATATCCCCTGTTTCGCGTTAAACGCGCGGCTGGGGATACCAATGCAATTTAAACACAGGCTATAGATTGCCAACAACTGAAGGTAGATCACCATACTAGGATCCACAGGGATTTACAGTACATTTTCATAGACCCTAGCTGGATTTACATCATCTCTTCAGCTATTAGCAATTTCACATAATCTAGCCATAAATTTAAATAACAGATATACTACAATTAAAATAGTAGTAGGTTT